AACTGGAAAAAAAATTGAAAACTTAAATAAAAAACAATTATAGAGCAAAATAATAAAAATCGTAATAGTTAGAGCTAAATAGCTGAGGATCTAATTAAGCTATAATTAGTATAAATAAAGCCACCAAAGAAATCAATAAAAAAAATAAATAAGAGAAGAAAAAACAGGGGAAGGGAGGGGTCAATCAGAGGGAAGGGACTGAAGAGAGCGGTAGAATGTAAGAAAGGGAAGCCATTTGTCATAAAATTGATCAGGATTACCTTTCAATGAATATCGGATCTTTTCCATCTTCAGAAAAGACATGGTGTCATTGAGCCACTGGGTTTTGGGAGGGATTTAGTCGACTTCCAGTGTAAAAAAAAAAAAAATGCAGCGTCTTGCCAGTAATGAAGTAAATGCTAAGATATCTAATTGGTTAGAAGTAAACCGCTTATGCTCCTCTGGAAGCCCAAATATGGCAATGTTGGGGGGAGACTTTTATAACCACAGAAAGTATTTTTCATCAAGTAATTCAACCAAAAGCAAGAAAGTAGTTGACAAGAATAGAACATATGGGATAAGTTGCAGGGTGAGGCATGACATTTGTTGCATTTGTCAGTGATGCTGGGATACATTTGAGTTTTAGAAAATTTGACTAAACAGTACTTTAAACTGAACAAGTGTAAGACAGGCGCAGAATTAATTGTCTTAAAAGCAGCGTCCCACCAATCATCCTCTAAGTTTACGTCCAATTCCTTGACCCAGGAATCCCTAACTTTAGTAGTTGGCGAGCAGTCAAAAGACAGAACTTCATTATACATGTTAGAAATGAGTGACTTTCTAAGTGGGTCATGATTTAATAGCTCATCCCGCTGTTGAGTTGGCCGTAAGAGGGGGAACAGAAAAAAAAAAAAAAAACTTTTAGCACAATGTCTAACTTGAAAGTATCGGAAAAGATGAGAAGGTGGGAGATCAAACTCTTCTGAGATACATGTATCTGCAAAGCTGCAAAAAATATCATCTTTGTAAAAGTCTTTAAAACACTTTAGACCTTTATTGTGCCATGTTAGGAAGGTTGGATCTGTAAATGAAGGCTGAAATAAATGATTTTTTAGTGTAGGGGTTAAAGCAGATACTGACTTAAATTTGAAGTGCCTCCTAAATTGATACCAAATTTTTAGTGTGGAAAGGACCACTTGATTGTCTGTAAAACCAGAGAGGTTGGATTAAAACAGAATGAGATCTTATGAATGTGAGCTGACCAATAATAGATTTGCGGATCCTGGGAGCCTTTCCACATCATAGGAATTTAGAGACAGTCTGATCAATTGTTTATAAAAAAACTTTTTTGGTAGGAAAAGCAAGGAAATTTGTGCGAAACATTCATTTTAACTGCGTTAATTCTTCCTACTAAAGAGAGTGGTAAACTTCTCCATCTTTGTAGGTCTATTTTAACTTTAGACGATAAAGGTGAGAAATTAGCAGAAAAGGGAGAATTTAATGTTCTAGTAATGTTGATACCGAGATACCTAAAGCCAGTCAGGTTTAAATTAAAAGGGATATCTGACTAAGTGGCAATTACTCTTAACTGAAAACACTTATCATTTATTGAACAGTATGTAATAATTTCATATTTAAAGTATCTTCAGATGTTTGAATTCTGAATATGAGCGGACTTCATTACATCACTTTAGCAGCATGTAGAACAATTGTTATCTGCTTTATATAAAAGGCAATCTGAACATTTAAAGCTTTTTTGAAATAAAATAGAAAAAAGAAGTGTAAAAATGTGGCAGCTCACTTTAAAGAAAAGGAAAAACTCATCCAAGACTCTGAATTTAGCACAGAATTTTCTGTTTAATCGTTGAGCATCGATGGGGGATGATAATATGGCTAAACACAGAAACACGCTGGAAATGTTATAAACACTTCATCCCAACCCAGGGAAACATGCACAGCCAAACACAAGGGCAGCAAAAATAAATACCCTTGATAACCATGGCAGGGATTTAGGGTTCTAATAAAGCTTATAAATGTTCTTATCTTTTAGACCTTCATATCATTTGTTTTCAAAAACATCAACATCCATGGCAAGATAAAGAGCGTTACAGCGTTAAAGAAACTAAACTTGCACCAAGCAACATCTCCTTCCTGGAATGAGCCATTAAAGAACCTAAAATTTAACATATATCCACACCAATGCATGTTTATCTGTGTAGCAAAGACTTTATCATATTAGCAGGAAATTACATTCAACCCCAGAGACACAGAGAGAGCCATTATCTGGCTGATAACATGTATCTTTAATCTCCCAGTGAATTTGAGCCAGATTTAGCACAGATTAGTTTTCAGACAAAGAATTAAAAAACAAACACATTTTCCAGCATCCTTATTGGTTCAATGTGGGGCTATTTTTAGCCCTGGTTCTCTTAGCCAACATAAGTGCTTCATTTGAGGGGAAAAACGCCTAAGCACAAAACCACTTATCCCCATTCAGCAGCTACACCAGCAACCCACAACCTGCTGAATGGATTGAATCCTGTAAACCCTGCTGTCAGGTTGTTTGTTTTTCGACAAAAAAGGAACACATCTCTGAGATTTCTCGCCCTTCCTGGCAATTCAGCAAACTTTTAGGGTTGGAAGCTTCCTTCTGCATTAACGAAACATGATTAATCATCACCACACCTAATCCCTAAATTTGAAAAAGTGAAAAACAAAAGATGCTGAGACATTTTCCTTATTATAAGTTTTCTGTTTTTGTCAATTTTTTTTTTTTTAAAGACACCTCAGGAGACACAGAAGGCATCATCACGTCAGGAAAGGATTCCCGAAGCAGATCAGGATAAGTATTAAGTCTTGGAAAAAAACAACCAGACGCAGAGGCGGCAGGCCAATAGATGGCGCTAGGGCTCCCACCCACTGACCCAATGACCATGATTAAGACAAACTTTTTTTATATATATATAATTTAATTCTAATTTTAAAATATTTCAAAATATATTCATATATATTTCTAGATGTGCAAGATAAATACTTAATCTTTAATGACAAGTAAAGCTGTTTTCATTTTTGTCAGATTGGTGACGTATTTCCGCCCTAGAGCACAAAACCCTTAGCCCATATATTCTCGTTACAAGTTGTACATGTGCAGTAGCTTTTCTGCAATAGAGAAGGACAGGAGAGCTCTGGGCGCAGCTGAGCTGCGACCTGAGGTGACAGGAAGCGTATTTGCTCACCACCTCCCGCCACATCGCAGACGTTTGGCGGGTGATTGACAGGGTGAATTGCAGGAGTTGGAGACCCATGAAAGAGAAAGAAAGAAATGGCAGAAGAAACGTCCTTTTCCAGGAACTGGTTTAGCTACAAGACTAGGATAGCTGCATGCAGCGAGGCTAACGCTGTATTCTGTTTCCCTGCCTCCTTTTTCAGACGTCAGGATCTGCGCCAGCATGGATAAAGACAGCTAGGACCGATTTAAAGCACTTTTTAGAAAAGGCAAAGAGGAATAAACAATCTAGGAATCACATGGAAAATAATAGAATATAGTCTACTTTTTCTAGATGGTAAATGGCCTGTACTTAAGACTTTGCCGACTTTGGTCAAGTCTCCTGAGTTGAAAAAGCGCTTTACTCTACATTCAGTCATTCACGCACACACTCACACACTGATGGTGGCAAGCTACATTGTAGCCACAGCTGCCCTGGGGTTTACTGACAGAAGCAGGGCTGCCGTACACAGGCACCACCGGGCCCTCTGACCACCATCAGTAGACAATGCAGGTGAAGTGTCTTGCCCAAGGACACACCGACACTGAAAGTCAGAGCCGGGGCTTGAACCATCAATCCTTTGATTTCAGGGCAAACTCCTACATCCAACGCCACTGGCCGCCCCCGTTTGTTATTTTGATGTTTGTTAATTTGCATAGTTGCTCTTAAATAAACACTTTCTCAAAAAATAAATAGCTCTTATATATTAAAAAAATCTAAAGCTGACTAATAGCTTCTGCATTATTAAACTGGTACATTATTTTCTTAGGCTTGTGACTTAATATTGTACCATGCAAAACACAGATTTACCTTCACAAAGCCTCAGAAGGGCAACATTTATGGACAAAAAGTAAACCTGTACATGAAATTATGTTTTGATTTTATAAAGTGTTTTGTTATTGGCATTCATATAAACATACTGGCGTGATAACTCAGTACTTGATCACATCTATTTTGAATTTCTAGCCCCCCTCTGAGAAAACCCCACTAGCCTCCACAGACACTTCCTTTACTCTAAACTTTATCAAAGATGGGATTTACTGATGTTTTACCATCCCTACTGTTAAACAAGAAGATTTTATAAAATGACATCTGGCAGGAAACACAGAAGCATCATTTAATTTCTGTTTTGACAGCATAACATTCATCCATCATCATGGGGGACCACTTCCTGTTCTCTGGTATGTTGGTGAGCAGAAATGGAGGCAGGGGGGGTCAGGCCTTTCTGTTCTCTGGCCTAAATCACTTCAATGCACAGAAACTCAAACCAAGCCCAGAGGTTAGAGAAGGACCCGCAGATTAGCCTGAATAAAAATAAAAAAAAGGGGGTCATGCAGAAAAATCACCTGAAGGCATTTGTTTTTAACCCAGAAATGAGTGATATATGTTTTGGGTTTTTTTATTTTGTTTTTTTGTAAGGCTTATGCATGTTTTAAAATTGTTTCTAAAGCATGTGGAGAACTTAAGCGGATTGTATTAGAAATAAATTGTTTATGTTCTGTAAAAGTGTGGTAAAAACTTTATTTGCTCGCCATTCCTTGATTTTTGTTCCCTAAATTAACGAATTGTTTGCTTAACAAAAAATAAATAAATAAAAAAACCGAACATACTTTTTTTATTATTAAAAAAAGGATCTCATCCGGTGTTGAATAGAGTTTGGAGTAAACTTTACCGACAGGACGAACAGCTGGAAGAAGTTTAGAGGCAGAGCGGCGTCCATCACTCCGCTGAGAACAAACAGGAGAAGCTGCTCACCTTTCGCTCCAAACAGCAGACCGCCTGAGAGAAGAAGCACCCAGAGGAAGAGAGGCGCCATGGCCGCTGGTTCTGTCGCTCGTAGAGAGGCTGTTGTGTGTCGGTGAGCAGAAACCACAGCTCTGCTGAAGCTCCGCGGCGGTTTGAAAGCTGCTGCTACTGAGGGGCTTGAGCGCTACTAAGCTCCCAGTAACAGGCGGAGGGAAGGAGCACGTGCGCATCAGTGCTCAGCCAATAGCGATCCCTTGTTCATCATAGCCCCGCCCATTTCTTCAGTAGGGATAAACAAAAATCAATACAAACTGAATTAACCTTGAAGCCAAGGCTTTCAGGCGAAATGAGCTGTTTCAGTTTTACCATTTAATGACAATAATAATAATGGTGGCTTTAGCGATTTGCTTTTACATTTGAAAGTCACCCAATTCAGTACATAAGGTTCTTCTGTGTGTAATTTAATCACAGTATAGACTTTTAAATCTTTGGTCACTTCATAAACTGTACAATTACATGGGGTGGAAACTATTACCTTAAACCATTTAGGTTTATTAAAAAACAAAAATTGTTTAGTTTAATGGAAAACTCCTATAAAGTATATTTCATTTAATATTTTTGTTAAAGTAGTAGCCTTTCAAAATTGGTTCTAAAATGGTGGTATCGGTATCAGCCAGTACCGACAAATAGGGCAC